CCTCTGATGTTTTGAAGATCAGCGGTTTCTCTGGTCAAAAATTATATTAATCCAATGGACTTTTGAACTTGATTTTTGTTCGTTATTGTAATATTTCCTTACGAGAGATAAAGTTAATTTCCAGTCTGAGTGTGAAAGAAAATGTTCCCATCTGGTGGAAATAGCAACCAAAGAAGAATCCGATTGGCTGGCTGAGACATTTCTCTTCAAGGGTAAGTTAGCCTTAAGAATCTGATTGGCTGGCTGAACATTTCTCTTCAAGGTTAAGTCACGCCTTAAGAATCTGATTGGCTGGCTTAGACATTTCTCTTCAAAGGTAAGTCAGGCCTTAAGAATCTGATTGGCTGGCTGAGACATTTCTCTTCAAAGGGAAGTCACGCCTTACGTAAAAAGAATTTCATTGACTCTCTGAGACATTAAAAATGAAAGGTACGTATGAGACAGGTTCCTAAGGAAGAACATAATCAGCCTTTCATAGGGTAACTCACTTGTCACTAAAGAAGAATCCAACCAGCTGGTTAGATCATGCCTCGTCTTAAGTAATTCACATGTAAAATGTACTTTAATAGAATCTTATGAAAACTCAAGGTACATGTAAATGAACAGAGATTAAAACAAACCATTAGCAAAATAATGACAAGAGAAAAGAGTAAAATACCTCTTGTTCAGTGGTTACATCCACCGTCAAGCTTTGTCAGATCTGGAAATATTTAAATTAATTTATATAAAAGAAATCGCTTTACAAGATAAAAAAATTGTATCATGGAAAATTCATGGTAAAGAGATTCGCAAAAGTAACATGTTCAAAACATAGGTACTTGATCCACTTTTGTTGAATACAATTAAATCATTAATTACGCTTAACATTTCAATGTCTTATATCATGATGTTTAAGATGAGTTGAACGCCTACATAGCAATTCAAAGTTTAAAAGATGTCTCTCGATAGCTGTGGAAAAAATGTTTGATCAGAACCTTATTCATTAAAATTCAATTTCTATGTCATACTGCACTATTTGAATTTCGAGGGTTGTTCGGAAAGTTCATAGACTTGCGCCGTAAAATTAAAACCGCTTAAGATACATCAATGAAACAAAATGACGACAGCGCTGAGTTAACATATAATGTCTTTTTTATATGCGTCATTTATGCAAGAAGACGTCACATTGACAGGTGCATTGCAATCGATACATCGTTTATATATTGTTGTGTGGGATTTAACAAACGACAAAACTCCATGTAATAGTAAGTTTTGATGTAGTCTACAGCTATCCAGCAGTTTGAAATAGCAATGATTTCATTTTATGGTATTTTGAAGACCTTACATTTTGTGTGACGTCATAGTAAACATTTCCCGTATAAATTTGCCCCCGGCTCCTTATTGTAACCTTAACTGTACTAAGGACACACAATATATACTCAAAAAAAAGAAACACATATTGTTTTACTTTTGAAAAAAGTATATGGAAACACTATCATTTATATCATTGGATACCTATGACCTTTTAAGTACAACATGGGCTTTTAAACCCAAATTGTTGAATTATTTCCCCTGATTACTCACGTTTATGAAAATAATGTTTTGCATAATTTCTTGTAAATCGGGGGTCTATTTTCAATGAAATTTTGGATTTAGAGAAACAATAAACACGCCTATTAAACATATATCTGTGCTGTGATTGCAATCGCAGCACAGTTAAGGTTACAAATGGAAATATCGGCGATTTTTTAAGATAAAAAATACATAGTTACTTTATTAGAATGGGCGATTCTTTTAAGGACTTCACTTATACAAAAAAGTTACTGTGGTTTAAATATATATGTTAGGGACATTTAGATTTTTTTATTTAGACTTGTCACGTGATGTCGACGTCACATGATCCATTAATAACAGATCCAAAGTCGGCTTGATCGCGAAAATTAATCGCCGCGAACTAGTTTACCCCTGGTAAATCGCGAAATAAAGTCGTCGGAAATAAAGTTGGTTTTCAGTAATATTTTATTTGAGAACAAAACACATTTTTCATTGTACAAAATGTGACTTGATCAGCTTCTCACTGTGTACAAAATGCGTCATTTTTGCGAGATGACGTCACATTGACAAGTGCATTGCGATCGATGCACCATTTATATACTGTTGTATGGGACAAAACTGCATGTAGCAGTAAGTTTGTTTGTAGTCTACAGCTATCCAGCTGTTTGAAATAGCAAATATTTTCATTTTGTGGTATTTTGAAGACCTTATATTATGTGTGACGTCATAGTAAATATTTCCCGTACAAATTAGGTCCCGCCTTCTTTACTTTAACCTTAACTGTGCTGCGATGTTGATGCTGTAATGCCAAGCCTAAAAAAAGTTGAACACAACAAGGTTCTAACAATGATACTAACCGGAGCCACAAAACAGGAAGTTACAACTGCATTTGGTGTACACCAATCGGCTTTGCAGCAGTTAAACGCACGTCCCCACCAGCCAGGAACACGAATGACAGACCAAGAACTGGCCGTCAAGGGGTTACCACATACATACAGGACCGTCAGATCCTCCTTCAGCACCTGTGCAATCGACTCAGAACTGCTGTGCAAACTGCTGAAATAAGCATAATGTGCATACATTGTTCGCAAGAGACTGAGAGGAGCTTGTATTCGTGCACGACGTCCGTATATTGGAAATCCGCTAGCGCTGAGAGTTCGCAAAGGTTATATGGATTGGTTAAGACATATGCCTCTAGAATTTGGAGGGGACGTCAATGACATAAAATTTACTTGTCAATTGGGAACATAGGGCATGATTGATTTTTATCACACCACACTCTTAAATCAGTTTTAAAAATTAAGGTTTAAATTGAAAACTTGGATTTTCATGTTTGATCTGAATATGCGTTTTGTTTTTTTTGTTGAGTATACATTGGGAACATTTCACTTCTTGTTTTACTCTGTATATATTAGAAATCTATTCATTGCTGGTTGATTTTAAATTCGTTTTTAATTTTAAAAAAAATAATTAATTCTGTTTTTGTTTTAACCTTTCGATATTAAGAAAGGTTGAGATATAAGCATTTTGCTTACGTTTTAACTACAGTTGAATTTGAAACAATTGAGAAGATTGGTACCATGAATAAGACTTAAGGAATTTCATAACTTAATAATTAATTAACGTTACATTGTTCATATATTTCAGGCACTTGTTCCTCAAATATTTATCGTAACTGCGTTGCTTGGACTGGAGGAAACGATATATCAGTTGAAGGTAGATACCATTGGAGTTACTTTAACACGTCTATCAACTTCACTAACTGGAAATCAAATGAGCCTGGTCCTCTACGTCTTAAGGAAGACTGCATACACCTACTAAGAAATGGTAAATGGAACGATGCACCATGTACACAAAAAATGCAATTCATTTGTGAGAAATCCGATGGCGGCTAAATTAATGGGCTTGCTAGTATAATATGCTGTTTTTAATATATATTTATAATTGTCGATTTTAGATTAGACGATGTGTTAATTAGTATAAATGTGACTTTCTTATATTTTATGATTTGCCACTTTTCTACTTATGGACGTTATATCATGATATGATATGATATAGGTGTGATTTTATATTTATTTTGTGAGTTGTCACTTTACTTTTAATAGATGAAATATCATGATCGTGTGTAATTTTATTATATTTTATGTGAGTTGCCACTTTACTACGAGATGACATACATGTATATACATCATATTGGTGTGGTTCTATAACATTCCGAGTTTTTTTTTTTATTTTGTTGTGTGATCAAATAATAGATTTGATTCTATTATAATGTGAAAATTGTTACACGTACATGTAATTGGAAGTTAGAAAAAGTTGCGATTAAATATAACTTTGGTTTTATCTTTTTGTCCCCTTTATAAAAGGAAACTTTAATACCAAAAAACGTGGCCAGGAAACACAAAATTTAATTCTATGTTCAAAATACTAATTGATTTAAAAACAATATTCAGAACACTGAATAGATTGGGCAACATGCAAATTGCCTATAAATATCCTCTCTATGAAATGTCAAGGTGACAATACGAGGGTCATTCAAAAAATACGTAGACAATTCTTCTCATTGTCATATAATTATTACAAGATTATAGACCAACACATTTTCGTAAACATAAACATTTATTTTGTCGAAGTGTGAAGTTTCATTCCATTTGATTAAATAAAACTCATGTTAGCCAAAATTTAAACCAATATGTTTTGTTACCATGGAGCACGGTTAACCAACATTGTAACGTCAAAGACAACATTGAGAAAGTTTGTCAAAATTATACTATTTTTCTTAATTTCAAACACGGTTTGTAGCGTCTTCTCCATTCAAAAAGACATACCCATAACACTTAACACCTAGTTTGCGAACAATTGTACAAATATAGCTTGAATAAGAATGTCATTGTTTTCAAATTCTTTAATTTACCATGTAACTCTATTAATTCTGCAACAGTGAAGCACACATCACGTTCAATGACGTTCCTAACTCTTTTGACAATATTTTTAACTTTAACCTGTTCCTTTGCAGACAATTCATCGTGCGATTCAAACTCGCTACCACTCAAAAATTGTATTTTCCATTTAATACAAATACACAGATTATTTTTCATACAGATCCTAGTTTATACAGATTTTTTAAGCTTGTAGAAGAAGTTTCCCGAATGTAAAGTACAAATTTTATTGCTACTTGCTGCTCCGTGACGTCCTCCAACGTCATAGTTTTTTGCTTTTTTTAATCAAGTCCATATGTATTTAGAAACTGATATCTTTTAAACGGAGTGACATATTACATAACCTGATTTCATTTTAATTAATACTGCTTTATTTGAACATGTAAATTTTATTTCGTTTCAGCTCCATTTATTAGAGGTATGGCTTCAAATAATATAAAGTGAAAATTAGTAAATTACTCATTTTTGATGGCGCTCCGTGACCCCATTTTTGCTATTCTAAATCCTTGGTACATCATGTAATTTTAATAAATATGAAGATAAATTCCAATTTTTTTACTCAAATTATTCGAATCTGTTAAAATATTTGTACCAAATTTGGATATAATATGACCTTGAATAAAAAAGTTAGGACAAAAGTCTACGAACTTTTTGAATGACCCTCGTACAATGAACTGATCTGATATAAATTCAAAATACAACATGGGTAGTCACACACTCTCACACAAACACCCTTTCACTCGCCCTCCCTCACACCCGGGCACAACTGACTCGCACAGATCCAGATCAAAAATAGCAAATTTGATCATCAAACACATTTAAGAAATAAAAATCATAGGTATCCAGGCTTTTGAAGACATTTTGAAGAGATTGGACAATGCATAGTGTATAAAGATTTCCCTGTCATTGCAAAACACCATTAATCACTTTAAATATCATTTCATGTTAATAAACATTGGTACAAATTAAACTTTTTGAATTAAATTCTAAATTATATATTATCATAAGAGAGATCCTTAAAACGTTTTGATACTTTGATATATTCTTGTACAGCATTAATAATGGTAAAGTTTGTTTGACTGGAAAACTCCAGACTCCCATGTAAAGAGGTCAAAATTCAAATGGTACACTAAGTTCACACATGTTTTGTCTTCGTTCGTTTTTCTGTGCCTTCTTTGTCCCAAGAACAGATATAATATTATACAATATTAATATTAATAGCGATACGGAAAAAATTCTCATTAACTTTTTAAATTTTTAATTGCAATTAGAAGTATGAATTTATGGGAAAAAATTCAGCTTTATAATAAAAAGTTTATGAAACATAAAATTGTGAAATTATAGTGTCATTTGTTGGCTGTACAACTGGACTCATTTTTTTATCAATTAGATCCAATTAACTTTTTTTCTTTCATTTATAGTGGATTTTAATTTTTTCATTTATGGTTCGTCGATCATGACATACTCTAAAACATTATATCGGTGTGAGCACTTCTGAATTACATTGAGGGACATGAAAAAAGGTCCTTCGGATCAGACCGTATAGACCGAGGTCACGTATCAAAGTATGAA